GTATATATATATCATGATTAATTATGGCCTTTAGCAGATAAAGATTAATATGTGACAATTCCACTTGCCAAATGTCTTTGACTCTAAATCAGTTACCCTGTTTTACACTTATTCAAACCTTCAGTCAAATTCAAATTCAAAATTTTTCAAATTCAAATATTTATTTTTCATTTCATTAAAAAAATAACTATATACAATAAAAAACAACGACATGACACAGATCAAAAATCAAAATAAAATGAAATGTAGCAGAAGAAGAATAAATCATATAATGTCTGCCCCTTTTATCCTCAGAACATATTCGAACAGAACATAATTTACAAAACAATACAAATAAAATACAAATAAAAATAAAAGCATCAACTCAAATAACTCATTCATTTGAACAGCCCACCCTAATCTCATTCCAGGGCTTACTTTGCTGCTCAGAAGGGACACATTGACTGAGTAAATTTGTTTCCACCATTTGCTGATGGAGAGTTTGTTGTAACCAACAAGGCCTTGGTCCACATTGTCAAACTCTGGTTTATGGTGGTATTTCAGGTGAAGTTTGTAGTGTTAGCTTTAGCTCTTTGTTAGCATTAGCGTCAGCTCTGTGCTGCAGGTACTTCCACCCAGGATTTTAGCTTGAGAGGTGACTTTTGGATGCCCTGTTAAGTTTTCCGCTGCCTTTAAGCTGTTGCCATCATGGCACTGTGCTGATCTTCAAGTTTGCTGAGATTTAAAAGACGTTTCCATCCGTACCTTTTTTTTTCCCCTCTCTGTAAATTTTGTCAACTTCCATTATTGGTGGGGGGGCACAATTATTTTATGAAGCCAGAGGAAGACAGATAAAGAATAAACTGCATCGGCTTGGATAGTGGAGTTGGGTAGCAATTTCACAGCTTCAGTAGCTGTTGTTGTGTGTTGTCGTCCCATTCTCCGTATCCGTTCCGTATGTAATTTTTTTCCCCTTAGTAATTTTGCAACCTACTGAAAGATTATGTTCAAAAGAGAGACCAAATTATGCAGAGGAGGTCAATTAAATTCTCATTTATTTACATACATGTAGAGTTTACCACACACAACCTCAGGTATGGTCCGTTTCCTGAACCCCCACCCTGGCTTCTGAGACCAAGGAACATGTTCATGAACAACATGTGACCAAAAGCTTTATACCAGAGTCAAGTCCCACCTCGGATATGACGTCATATCCTGGATATGATATCATGGTAAATAAGAAAGTAAGTACTTCTAAAATGAAAAACAGCACATTTTTATACTGTTGGCGCGAGGCACGTATTGAGACTTGTAGAGTCT